CAGGAGTCCCCCCCACACAATTCTTCAAACAATCTCTGAGCCAAAGTTCGGGAAAGTCTCAAACCTAACAAAAACTGCAAGACATCTCTCAGCCAAAGCTGGGGGAAGATCTCAGCCCGGAAAAAGGTCGAAATCGAAGTTCCAGGAGAAAATGAAGCAGAGAAGTGGGGAAAAACTAACAGATGCTTGATGCTTGGGTGGCCAGATTGTCCTCGTAGTTTTTAAAGTAAAGTTTCCTCGGCCACCGGGGATTGCGCGTGGAGTTTTTTGTCGCTGACTTTGGTTCAGAGATTTTTTTTGAGTTTTTAGATTTTAAGATTATCGCAGTTTTTTGCTCAGAGATTTTTGGGGAGTTTTCTAGAGTTTGAGATTTTCGCAGGTTTTTGGTTCGATATGTTTGGGAGTTTTAATTGAGTTGGAGATTTCACAGGTTTTGGCTTATAGTTCCCAACCAACCTGCGTTGTTGGGTCCTCGTTTTGAAGAGACGGTCCCCGCGTTCCTTCCTCCTTCCTCCTTCCTCCTCCTTCCTCCTCCTCCCCTTCCTCCCCCCTCCCACACCCATTCTGGCACACCCCTCACACGTTTCGTGGCCCCATAGGGAGCTCCACCGAAGGCCCCAGTGGCTGCGCCCGCATGCGGTTCCACCCCCCATTCTGGCGCACCCCCCACACGTTTCGTGGCCCCATAGGGAGCCCCACCGAAGGCCCCAGTGGCTGCGCCCGCATGCGGTTCCACCCCCCATTCTGGCACACCCCTCACACGTTTCGTGGCCCCATAGGGAGCTCCACCGAAGGCCCCAGTGGCTGCGCCCGCATGCGGTTCCACCCCCCATTCTGGCACACCCCTCACACGTTTCGTGGCCCCATAGGGAGCTCCACCGAAGGCCCCAGTGGCTGCGCCCGCATGCGGTTCCACCCCCCATTCTGGCACACCCCTCACACGTTTCGTGGCCCCATAGGGAGCTCCACCGAAGGCCCCAGTGGCTGCGCCCGCATGCGGTTCCACCCCCCATTCTGGCACACCCCTCACACGTTTCGTGGCCCCATAGGGAGCTCCACCGAAGGCCCCAGTGGCTGCGCCCGCATGCGGTTCCACCCCCCATTCTGGCACACCCCTCACACGTTTCGTGGCCCCATAGGGAGCTCCACCGAAGGCCCCAGTGGCTGCGCCCGCATGCGGTTCCACCCCCCATTCTGGCACACCCCTCACACGTTTCGTGGCCCCATAGGGAGCTCCACCGAAGGCCCCAGTGGCTGCGCCCGCATGCGGTTCCACCCCCCATTCTGGCACACCCCTCACACGTTTCGTGGCCCCATAGGGAGCTCCACCGAAGGCCCCAGTGGCTGCGCCCGCATGCGGTTCCACCCCCCATTCTGGCACACCCCTCACACGTTTCGTGGCCCCATAGGGAGCTCCACCGAAGGCCCCAGTGGCTGCGCCCGCATGCGGTTCCACCCCCCATTCTGGCACACCCCTCACACGTTTCGTGGCCCCGCTGGCCCCATAGGGAGCTCCACCGAAGGCCCCAGTGGCTGCGCCCGCATGCGGTTCCACCCCCCATTCTGGCACACCCCTCACACGTTTCGTGGCCCCATAGGGAGCTCCAGCCCGCCGAAGGGGTGGCGCGCCCGCATGCGGTTCCACCCCCCATTCTGGCACACCCCTCACACGTTTCGTGGCCCCATAGGGAGCTCCACCGAAGGCCCCAGTGGCTGCGCCCGCATGCGGTTCCACCCCCCATTCTGGCACACCCCTCACACGTTTCGTGGCCCCATAGGGAGCTCCACCGAAGGCCCCAGTGGCTGCGCCCGCATGCGGTTCCACCCCCCATTCTGGCACACCCCTCACACGTTTCGTGGCTCCATAGGGAGCTCCACCGAGCGCCCCAGTGGCTGCGCTCGCATGCGGTTCCACCCCCCATTTCGGCACACCCCTCACTCGTTTCGTGGCCCGGGGGCGCCACCGAAGAATATATCCACAATTGCGGTATCTACAACTACGTATGGTTGGGTCTTTCGTCAGGCTAATTTGTTTGAAGGTTTTTTCGAGTCTGGGTTTTTTCGGTGGACCGCCTGTAGTCGCTATTGCCGATCCTAGCTCCAGCGGGCCCTCCGGGTCTCCCAGAAGCGAGCCCTTCTTTGGGCCCCGTGGAAGCGTCGACTCGCCCTCCAAGGGATCAAGATCACAGGCGTCCAAGGCCCCGCTGCCACCGCCAGAAAGAGCGGCGCAATGGTCAACGCCCAGAGCGCCCACTGGCGCCCCGTCCTCGCCCGCGAAACGGTCGACGCCAGCGCCGTGCGCGCGTGCGTCGACGAGCGCATGCCGCACGGCAGCGCTCTGGACGTCAAGCCGCCCTCCATGTGCCAGCTGCAGGCCTTCCTGAAGCGCGCGTCTCCATCGGCTCATGGGCCGGACTGCTTGCCGTGCAGCGCCTGGGCAGCCCGCGACTATTCCTCGGACATCCTTGAGGGCATGGACAGTTATTTCTGCTCGGGCAGCTCGATCCCGCGTGGCTTGAACGTCTCGGACTTTCCTCCCCGCCGAAGGGGGCGACGACCTCTTCGGCGAGATCACCGCAAACCGACTTCCTGAATGCCAGAAGACACACGTCCGCTCTCGCTGAAGAGCACCGACATCAGAGCCATCGCAGGAACGGCCAACAGCATGATCAAACAGTACGTCGCCGAGCGCGCGCGCGCGGCCAAGCAGGTTTTCTCATGGACAGGAACGTCACTCAGCACATCGTGTACCTGGACGCGGAGATGCGCCGCGTCGGCCTCTTCGAGAACGCTGCGGAGCTCCGCCCCGTCTTCATCAGCTTCGACTGCGCGGCGGCCTTCCCGTCGCATGGCAGAACGTGGCTCTTCGGGGCGCTGCTCCGCTTCGGCCTGTCAGGCGGCTGCGTGAATCTCTTCGAGGCCAGGTGCTGCGCGCCCGCCTCCTCGGTCAAGGTTGACGGCGTGCACCGCGCCATGTTCGCGATCGAATCAGGAGTCGCCCAGGGGTGCCCAGCGAGCGGATCTGCACGGGCGATCGCGATGGGCCCGATCCTCCGCCACCTCGCGCAGGCCATTGAGACGGCGAGTCTTGGCAGCGACCCGCACTCCAACTACCTGGGTGCTGGCGCGGACAACCTGCGCATCCTGTGAGGCCCCCATCGGCCTCCTGAGCAGAGCTACTCAGGCCTTTGACGCCGCAGCTCGCCTCGCTTTGCTGTCATTGAAGCCGCGCGAGTGTGTTGTAGTCCCTCTCTGGGCGCTTCTGTCTCCTGCCGCCATAGCCCAAACCCAGGCCCTGCTTTCCGAGTTTTCGCCGTCGCGGCGCGGGCTTTCGATCGCGGGGCGTGCCAACTAGCTCGGGGCCTTCCTCGGACCTGCGGCCTCCTTGGCCGAGTAGTGGTACGCTCCTTGGCAGAAATGGCGGCAGCGCTCGCATGGCCCCCCCGCTCGTGCAGTCTGGCAGCGACGGCACAGTCCAATTATAAAACACTCTTGTGCCCTCTACTTTAAGCTATGTGGCCCATTTCTTTCCTGTGCCTGCTTCCATCGCTCACCGCGAGCGCTATGTTTTCCACAATCTGCTCAGTCTGCCGCCTAATGCCTTTCGCAAGGTCGACCTCCTTGCGATGGCGGACCGGGCGCCGCCGCCAGTCCCGCGTTCGCTGCAGGTGATGTCGGTTGCCGCCGCTGCCCGTTCCGCGTCTCGCACTGTGTCAGGCATATGGGGGCCCAATTCCGATCGGCTCCGCGAAGCCGCTTGGGACGAAAGTGCGATTTACACCTTCCGTCGCTGGGCGGAAGGCTCGTGGTCCACGAGCTTCCGGGTGCAGCCTCATGCGACTGTGCAGTTCAATGCCCAGCTCCGTGGTGCCAAGCGTGCCGCCATTTTCGCGCCGGTGGCGTTGCGCGCTGCCCACGCAGCCGCGCTGGAGGAGAAGGAGGCTGCCTGCTCCGCGGAGGCCCCGCGCCGTCCTCACTTCCAGAGCGCGTTTGCAGCTTTGCTTCGCCAGTCTGCATTTGCCTCGCCGTTTCCTGTCACCCTCGCGAAACGCATCATTTCGTGGGGATCCATATCGATCCAGATCGCCTCGCAGAGCGCTGGGCGTCGCTCTCCGTTGAGATCCGTGCCGTCCGACCGAGTTCGCGTTGGGCGATCTTCAAAACACTGGCCGCAGGATGGGCGACCTCCGCTCGCATGCACGTGCTTGAGCCGCGCAGTTGTCTGTTCGGCTGCCCTGACTCGCCAGACTCATTCCCCCACTGCCTCTCCTGTCCTCGCCTCTGGAGCCTTCTCTGGTCCCCTGACCCCCCTCCGCTCCTCAATGCTTTAAGGTGCTGGGGCTTGGGCCCCGCTGCTGCGTATCCGCCTGCGCCGAGCGAGTTGTCTTTGTGCGAGACCATTCGCTGTGCCACGCAGACCTTCTACATTTTATAATAAACTGCGGACGGCATCGTCCCGCGCGGCGTGCGCTGTCGCTGCGACGCTGTCTGCCGCCCGTGCCCTGGTCACGCGCTAATTCGATAGTGGGTTGGGAAGGGGATGGACTGGAGGGCAGAGCAAGAGTTCTGAGGAGAAAACGCGTCTCGATAGAAACCGTCGTTTTCGTGGAGTTCAGGACGCAACTCTAGCTGTTTGCCCCCTGTTTTCGCTCGTCGCCTGTGCCTGTGCTCGGTGGCGCGCGTCGGAACTGACCCGCGTCCCCCAGGGTACCCGCGCCCCTCCTCGTCGCATTATTTTTTTCGTTCTTTTCCACGTGCACATTCTTCTTTCCCCTCGGGGCGGGGGTGGGGGAGGGAAGGAGGAATATGCGGAGCAGGGGAGGGGGGGAATCTGATTGGAGGGGGGGGGAGGGGGTTTCGGGAGGGCTTGGGAGAGGGACTGGGAGAGGGGAGGGGAAAGATGAATGGGGGAAGGGGGCGGGGAAGGGAAGAGGCGGGGAACGAGGAGGAAGACGGGAGGGGCGGGAGGGAGGAAGCGGATGGGGGAGGGGCCCGTGGAGGAGGTCGCGGCCGAGATCTCGGACTTCCTGATGCCGATGCTGACCTGGGAGCCCAGAGCGAGGCGCACGGCGAGCGAAGCGCTGAAGCACCCCTGGGTGCAGCCCGTGCCAGGCCCGGGGAGGGGGGGAGGCCGCCGGACGGGTCGGACGAGAGGCTGTGGGGGGGCCGCGGGGGACAGGCGAGGCACTGCCCCGTCGCATCGAGGTTCGCAGGCGGGCGTGGGCAGAAAACTGTGCGCTCAAGCGGGCGAAGGGGAATTGTCGGGCTGACTGCTGACGGATGGGTTGAGACATGTGCGACGTGCAGCCGGTTTCAGCCACGCCGCAGAGCGCGCTGCTCCTCGATGCGCGGGCGACTGCAGCGCCAGGGGAGGCGCCGGCGCTGGGAAGGCCAGCTGCTGGAGCCTTCTCAGGGGCAGCCATAAGGGGGGATAGGCATAAAGGGGGATGCATCGACCACCGATCGTCCACTGATCTCCGATAGGGGCCCAATAGCCCCAACTTGCCCAGGAACGTTCGGATTCCTTGTCGGGGGCCGATAACCGATTCATCGGCTGTGTATCGCCGATTCAAGGTCGATCCGGCCCCCCCCCTTTGCCAGTCCCCCCTCTCGTTGCCCCTCAGATTCGCTGACCCCGTTTTTTACTACCCCCTCTTCTTGTGCTCGGCAGCGAATCGCACAGCACCCTCGCGGCAGCAGCAGGCAGAGTAGATGAGCAAGCGCGTGATGGGGAGAACCCGCCCGCGCACCCACAGGGGCCTAGAGTAAGTGGGAGGTCCTCCTTCTTCTCCTTCTGCTCCTGCTCCTGCTCCTGCTCCTGCTCTTGCTCCTCCTCCTGCTCTTGCTCCTCCCCCTCCCCCTCGTCCTGTTCCTGCTGCTCCTCCTCCTCTTTCTCCTCCTCCTCCTCCTTTTCCATTCCTTGTCCTTATAAATGATGACCCCGACCCTGAAGCTTAAACATTGCCCACGCCCACGCCCACGCCCACGCCCACGCCCACGCCCACGCCCACGCCCACGCCACGCACGCCCGCCCGCCCGCCCACGCACGCACTCACGCACGCACGCACGCATCCCCACCTCCCCCCGATCCTTGTTCCTTATTAGAATATACCCCCACCTACGTCGTATTCCGGCCGATAGCGACCCAATCCGGGACCTCCCATCCGGACTGTAAAAAATCAATACAAAGTGGCCGTTTTTCTTCTCAACATCGTCTTTCTTGTCGTCGACGATGCGAAAAGCGTGGCAGGAATGGGACGCGGCGCACATCGCACGCGGCAGTCAATTTGGGCCCGCCCATCCTGACTGTCAAAAATCCATACGAAGTCTTCGTTTTTTCATCTCAGCATGGCCTGCCTTGTCGCCGACGGTGCGAAATATGTGGCAGCAGTGGGACGCGGCGCACATATGGGACGCGGCGCACATCGCGCGCGCGGCCGTCAATCTGGGCCCGCCCATACGGACTGTACAGAAATCAATACAAAGTCTCCGTCTTTTCCTCTCAGATGGCCTCCCTTGTCGCCGACGGTGCGAAATGTGTGGCAGGAATGGGGCGCGGCGCGCATCGCGCGCGGACGTCCATGCGGGCTGCGGGCCCTCCCATCCGGACTGTAAAAAACAAGACAGAGTACCACTACCACTATCACTACCACTACCACTATTAGTACTACTACTACAACTGCTACAACTGCTACAACAACAACAACTACTACTACTACTACCACTACCACCACCACCTTTACTACTACTACTACTACTACTACTACTACTACTACTACTACTACTACTACTACTACTACTACTACTACTACTGCTACGACTACTACTACTACTACTACTACTACTACTACTACTACTACTACTACTACTACTACTACTCGACGACTACTACTACTACTACTACTACTACTACTACTACTACTACTACGACTAGTACTACTACTACTACTACTACTAGTACTACTACTACTACTACTACTACTATTACTACTACTACTACTACTACTACTACTACTACTACTACTACTACTACTATTACTACTACTACGACTACGACTACGACTACTACGACTACTACTACGACGGCTACTACTACTACTACTACTACTACTACTACTACTACTACTACTACTACTACTACTACTACTACTACTACTACTACTACTACTACTACCACTGCGCGCCAGCACCCGGTTGCGCCAGCATTGTTTTTTATGTTGTGGGAGGGCGGAACGTGTCCATTGTTCTTTTCAACGTGGCCAGTCTTGTCGTCGACGATGCGAAATGCGTGGCGGGAATGGGACGCGGCGCACATCCCGCGCGGACGTCAATGTGGTGTCCTGGGGTATCCCCCACTCGCACTGAAATGCCAGCGCAGCCCCCAGTTGTGCCACCATTGTTTCTTATGTTGTGGGAGGGCGGGTGGGAATGGCCATGCCATGCTTGATTCGCTCGAGCTAGCTAGCTTGACCCCCACCCTCACCCCCACCCCCACCCACACCCACACCCGCACCCACACCCGCACCCACACCCACACCCGCACCTACACCCCCACCCACACCCACACCCACACCCACACCCGCACCCACACCCACACCCGCACCCACACCCACACCCACACCAACACCCACACACACACCCACACCCACACCCAGTCTCGGGAGCGCGAGCGCAGTATTTTTTGCGATGCTCTATGGCCTAGTGGATGCGAGCATTTGATAGTTGACGACGGATTACGGCCTCGGGGGCGCGAGCATGGCGTAATTTACGAGGGATGATGGTTTCGTCATGTCCCAGGACCCCCAGAAATCTTGAGACTCCCCCAGGTGGTTGTAACAAGGTCCCTTTTCTGCCCCCCCCCCCCTCGCGCGGCTTTCAACATGGTGGCCCCACAAGGGGACCAGCTGACATTCGTTATATTTCGTATTAAACATGAATGTATACATTTCCACTCTATATATATACACATATCATCTATTTTATGTACATATATATATATATATTGTACGTAGCACCCCGCATATGCGGATAAGACTGAGGGGGCGGTGGGGTCGTCGGCAGCTTGCGAGACTCTGGAGAGGCCCGCCGCAGGCGCCGAAGTGTCACACATTATACAAGGAGCCCGCCGCATGCGCCGATTTTTTCGTCCAATCAATGTGGGTAGGTCGCGGGTGGGTCGCGAGCGGATGGGTCGCGGGTCGTGGGTGGGTCGCGGGGTGGGTCGCGGGGTGGGTCGCGGGTTGGGTCACGGGTGGGTCGCGGGGTGGGTCGCGGGGTGGGTCGCGGGGTGGGTCGCGGGGTGGGTCGCGGGGTGGGTCGCAGGGTGGGTCGCGGGTGGGTCGCGGGTGGGACGACAACACCAACAATCACCAAAAACAACAATAACAACAACAAAAACAACGACAATACCAACAACAACAACGCAACTTCACCACGGATCCCCACTTCAGCCACGCACCCAAGGACAATGAATGTCCGTTCGCCCCCCCCCGTACCCTGATCTATTATAATATATGTGATAAGATATGTTAGTCCAATGTTGTATATTTTACAATGTCAGAACATCTTATACAACACTATATCATGGTGTACATTAGCATGTTATAATAATACATGGTGTCACACCATGTAATGTATTAGCTTATGCTTAGTACCTTATACTATGACCTAATCTACGGTTGTATAAGACAGTAAATCATAACATAAGGTTGCATACCGTAAACTAATATGTATACTCATAGTGTACTATAATATTTCATACAATGGTATAAGGTAATATAATATACCGTGATCTAATATACCACAATAGAGTACACTGCAGTGTACTATGATATAACATAAAGCAATCTGTTATCCTACGCTATATTGTAATCTATTATCTCATAATCTAATCTACTATGAACTAGTATATATGTATTCTGGTATAATCTAATTTGTAGAGGCCAAGTGGTCCCAAGAGGCCTCACAGCAATCCCCCAGCGGCCTCCAAGCTGCCTCCCCAGAGTTCCCTGCACGCCTCCTAGGCCCCCCCCCCGATTTCTGCGCACTGCACGACAGGATGTCCCACTTGGAAAACGAGGGGAATCCAGTGATTTTCTCTTTGTTCAAATTCATCATTGCAGCGTTTTTTGCGGACATCCTGTTGAACTCTCTGACGCTGTCTTGGTGCTCTCTTGGGTCGTCTTCGTGCCCTTTTGGCTGCCCCTGAAACCACAGTAAAAATCTAGATCCCATGAGTTTGCTTGTCCAGCCTAGCAAGAACGTCAGAGCGCGCGCGCGCGCCAAGAAAGAGACAAAAGAGGGGCCCCAACACATTTCGGGCGCTTTGCCCCAAGGCGGCCCCCAAGTTCTCCCAGAGATTCTCGAGGCGCCCTCCATGTGTCTGCGGAGACTCCTGGGAGGTTCCCAGGAGGCACCAAGAGCTTCCCAAGAGGTTCCGAAAGACTTCCAGGACGCCGCCAAAAAGGCCCCGAGGGCCATCGCAACAGACCATGGTCTGTCTCCCGGAGATTTTAGTCCCACAACCCAAGCATTTGTTTTAAAGGAATGCTGAGAATTCTTTTTTTTTCCGAAGTCAGCCCGCCCCCTCCGCGCGCTACTCCTGCACAACAGGCAGCGATTATGGCCCCCGTCACCGGCCAAGAAAGACCCGAGGAAGCCTTCGAGGGCTCCGGATCTCGGAAAACCACAGGAGCGTCCCGCACCTCCGGAACATCTAGGGGCAACTCCTGGCACCGCGCCCCCGGGCCTCCCAGGAAGACTTCGCAACGCCCCACGACGGCCCAAAACGCCCCCACTGAGCCCCCCAAACGCAAAAAAAACAGCCCAAGATGCTGTCAAGCAGCCCATGAAAGCCTTCCGACGGCTTTCCAGGCTCCCAGGATCACCGAAGAGTTAACCAGAAGGCCTTCAAGAGGCCCCAAGAGACTTCCGAGAGGCGTCCCCAGCTTATCATTGCGTTTTTGGCCTTCTCGCGTTTTCGAGCTTCCAACGCTCCAGGACAGCCGAAGAGGCCGGCGGAAGAACCCCCCCGAGAGAGCCCAAGACGGTCCCAGAGATCCTCAAGACTGCCCAAGAGGCGCCCAAGACGGACTAAGAGCGCCTCAAGACCGCTCAAAGGAGGCCCGAGGGCGGGAGCAGGAGGCCCCAAGAGGCCCCCGAGAAGCCTCCAGGACCCCCCACAGGCCCCCATCAAGCCCCAGATGCCTGAGAGTCCACCAAAAAAAGCTCTTGGAGGGTCCGAGAACAACCTAGGAGAGCTCCGAGGGCCGCCCCGAGAGAACCTGAGGAGGGTTAGCTCTTTGATATGCGTTTGTTCTTGTTCGAAGTTTTTGGCTTTCAACATCAACCTGCGTTTTGGCGAGGTCTGTTTCTTCCATGGCCGAGATGTCGAGCGGCGAGGCTGCTCGCTTCGACGCGCGCTCGCTGAAAGAGACACGCATCGACCGCGCGTTCTGCAGCTTGCCCGCCCACACGTACAAGGAGGAACCCGCGGTTTGCAGCGTTCACAGGTTGAACGACCACGCGATCTTTGATGTCTCCATTGCCTCGGCCAAGCGCCTCGATGACGACGTCCAGCCGATCCCGCCCTTCCTGTTCCAGCCTCCGAGGTGCAAGCAGAATGTGTCGCTCGTGCTCGAGACGTCCAGCCCGTGCGCCACGACTGAGGTGAAGCGCTGGAGGGGCCACGGGCAAATCATGATCGAGGCCGCCAAGCTCACGCGAGACTAGCTCACGTCCCTCCCTGGCGCTGCAAACAACCAGCCGGTGTCGGAGGCCCAGCTCTTGACGCGCAGGTCGGTCTCGCGGGCGATCTGGAGGCAGGGCCGAGCTCTAGCGCGTGCCCTGATCGCGCCACGGACATGGGGCGAGCCGCCCTTCGCGCGGAGAATGGAGTCATCTCGCTGCAAGACGAGAGCCTGTGCGGAGGCCTCGCGGCGGGCGCGCTTCAAGCACCTTCGCCTTCGTCTAGCTCGTGCTCAGGCTAGTGCCCTACCTGCGCTGCGAAGGGCTCTGGAGGTGGCTCGGCATCAAACGCAGGCGAGGCTCCTGCAGAAGCGTGGTCGTGCCTGGGCACCGTTCGTTCGGATGTCCATCCCCGCTGGCATCCGCGCGTGCTCGAGCGGCGGGGTCGTCGCCGAGCCGCTGGCGCAAGTTGCCGCGCTGCATCGGCACTGGCTTCTTCGCCCGTGGGCGCGTCGACGAGATTGAGCTGGAGATCTTCGCCGAGCAGTGCGCCCCTCCACCAGCGCCTCCATGCCGGCTCTCAGCGGCCGATCCGCGACTGCGATGCGTCGCACTGCCCCTCGTGCTCGCGCGACGGCCCCCGGCCCTGGTCGGCCTCCTTACCCGGCGCGGCTCGTCGCGGAGGGCGCGCTGGAGGCCTCGGAGGAGGTCGCGTGGGACTTCTTCTCGTCGGGGCTCTCGCCGCCGACTTTCAACGATTCGCTCTTCCCCTTCATTGCGATAGGCGGGGGGGGCTCTGACATGTATTGCCGCACTCGTGAGCCTGGCAATCTACCCATCTCGCGCAAGATCGCCGACTCGAAGCTGTTCGCGGGCGCCCTCGGTCTCCAGCTTCGTCGCCAGGTCGAGGCTCGCGTGCATCCCGCCCAGCAGGGCTTCATCAGGGGCCGCAACTTTTGCTGCAGCGTTGTTCTCATGGGCACGCTGGGGCGAATGGCTGGCTGGTCCGAGTTCGCATCTCAGCAGCTGCCGTCGCTCCTTCTGTTCGACATAGCTGCTGCCTTCCCCTTGCTGGAGAGACAGCGGCTCTTCAGGGCCCTCGATCAGTTCCAGCTCGAGCGTGGATTCATCATGGCCATCGAGGCTCTCTACGACCAGACCATGGCTGCACCGTCGTGCAGGGCATGGCGCACTTCATCTGCCCCCCTGCTTCAGGGGTCGCCCAAGGTTGGCCCGCTTTCGGGCACCGTCTGGGCCGTCGCCGTGGACGTCGTCACGCGTGCCATCCACGAGGTGATGCCCGCGCCCGCAGAGGGTACGGCCGCGGCTTGCGCGGGCGATCTCGCCGTCCACGTGGCGAAGCTCACGACGATCGCCCCCCGTGCGCAGGTCTTCTGCCGGGCTGCCCCCCTGGGCAACCCGCGCACGAACCTCGAGAGCTGTACCCTCGCCCCGCCGCGGGCGGAGCTGGCCCCCCAGATGTCCAGGCCCTGGTCGCTGCCTTCCTCGAGGGCAGCCTGCCTGGGTGGCTCGGATTCAGACTGGCGGCGGAGGGCCTGTACCTGGGCGCCCGCGTTGGGTTTGCGGCGGACTGCGATCTCCAATGGGCGGCTGCGGGCTCCAGGTGGTGGCGGAGTGCCGTGGCCAAGCGGTGCCTCCGCCTCGCCTGTGGACGCGAGCGCCAGGCTCCTCCTCCTCCTCCTCCTCCTCGTCTTCTTCCTCCTCCTCCTCCTCCTCCTCCTCCTCCTCCTACTCCTCCTCCTCCTTCCTCCTCCTCCTCCTCCTCCTCCTCCTCCTGCTCCTGCTCCTCTCCCTCCTCCTCCTCCCTTCCCTCCCCCCCCTCTTCTCCCTCCTCCTCCTCCTCCTCCTCCTCCTCCTCCTCCTCCTCCTGGCGCAGTCTTTCGACCTGCCGCGGATCCCGCGGCGCAGGGAGATCCACGCTGCCAGCGAGGTCCCTCGCATGCCTGCCAGCGCATTCCGCTCGAAGGACGTCCGCGGGCTCCGCGCGTGGATGCCTGGTGCGGCCCCGCGGTCCATGCTGCTCTGCGCGCTGGGTTCCTCCTCCTCCTCCTCCTCCCTCCTCCTCCCTCCTCCTCCTCCTCCTCTCCTCCTCCTCCTCCTCCTCCTCCTCCTCCTCCTCCTCCTCCTCCCCCTCCTCCTCCTCCTCCTCCTCCTCCTCCTCCTCCTCCTCCTCCGTTTTATCGTTCACCGTCGCGCAGTGGCCCTCGCTCAGCCGCCTGTTCGATGACCTGGCCCAGGAGTCCGGCGGCTTCGTCGGCTGCTCCGTGGGTCGCTGGTTTCCGTCGTTCTGGAGGGAGCCGGCTGCTATCGTCCAGAGGTTCGCGGGCCATCGCCCGCGGGTCTTCGCCGCTGGTGCCTGAGCGTCGCCATCGTGGCCTCGTTCGCGCAGTGCCGTGCGAGATGTTGCCTCCCAGGGTCGCGTCGCCAAGCCGCAGCGCATCTTCGTTCGGTTGCCTGACGGCGCACTGGATGCAGACCGACTTCGAGCTCGCTGAAGAGGAGGCTGGTCGCTTGGTTCGGAGCCGAGAGCGTGCCGCCCAATCTGAAGATGCGGTGGGCCCAGCTCAGGGAGCACCTGACGTCCGTCGCGCTATCCTGGCGCTGGGCCACGCTCCGTGACCTTGCAGGGGGCCGGCACACGAGCTCGCGGATGCACGTGGCGCCCGAGGTGGATCGGTGCCGGTTCCGATGCGAGCTCGCCCCAGATGCCGTCGCCCACTGCCTGCAGCGCCCGAGGCTCACCCACTTCGTCTGCCTGCCGAGGACCTTGCGCCCGGGCGAGTGCGGCGGACCGTCTTGGACCGGCCGCAACCTGTGATGAGCACGGGGATCCTACGCTGTCGATGACCATCCAGCGCTTGGTGCTCAGCTACTACATGTACTCCAGATTTCGTAATAAAGGGAGGGGGGTCTCATTTCGGGGGGGGTCTCTTCCAGGCTATCTTGGAGGGCCTGGGGGGGGTCTGGGGACGATGTTTTGGAGGGCTCTCCCACGGGGGAGGTCTGAGGTGGCCTGTCTTGGAGGGTCCAGACCCCCTCCCTTTTATTACGAGACCTGGAGTACCTGGAGGTGAAGCACCTGCCCGGAAATTGCTGCAAGTACGACGTCCACGTGCAAGCGCGCTCCGCCGCTTTCGGCAGGCTCCACGAGCACCCCACCCAGCCTCGAGCAGAGGAGCCCCGCGGCCGGACCGCGGGCGCGGAAGGGTACCCGCGCTCCTCCGCCCTGCCGACGCTCCTCCTCCTCCTCCTCCTCCTCCTCCTCCTCCTCCTCCTCCTCCTCCCCCTCCTCCTCCTCCTCCTCCTCCTCCTCCTCCTCCTCTGTTCCCTCCTCTTTCGTTTCCCCTCCTCCTCCCCTCCCTCCCTCTTCCTCATCCCTCTTCTTCCTCCTCTTCCTCTTCCCTCTCCCCTCCTCCTCCTCATCCCCTTTCTTCCTCGCTTCTTCTGGCCAGGCGACGCCCCGGACGGTGCCGCGCCGGCGACGCTGCCCCCTAGAGGCGCGGGCTGCCGTGGTCGTCGTGGTCGTGGTCGTGGTCGTGGTCGTGGTGGCGGTGGTGGTCGTTTTCGCCGTCGTCGTCGTCGTGATTTGCCCTCGCCCCCTCTTCCTCCTCCTCTTCCTCTCCCCCTTCTCTTCCTCCTCCTCCTCCTCCTCCTCTTCCTTTGCCTCTGCCTCTTACTCCTCCTCCTCCTTCTCCTCCTCCTCCATTCCTTTGCCTCATGAGCAACTCCTCCCTGTCGCAACCCGAGGCCAATCGGAAGGGCGGGCCGGGCGTTTCGCCTGAGATTTCCTTACCATTTTTTAGCTTCAAAACTGGGAAGAGCTTCGCACATGGAAAGCGGGTCGTTTCGAAAAGGTGGCTCTCGTTTTAGCGCCGCGCATATTCGTTTCACATAACTGCAAGAACTCAATGAATTGAGGGCGGGCCGCGTATCAAAATGTGGCCCTCGCCTCAGCGCCGCGCGCATTCGTCTCAAAAAAATACAACATACTGCTGGATCGGAGCGGTGAAGGGTTGTGAGGGCGCAGCCGTTGCGTGGATTCGCGGTGTTGAAGCCCCAAAAATAGTGTTTTGGCACGGTTCCGGATCGTCAAGACGCAGTAGTCAGGTTGACCCGTGGCGTGGAAGTCCCGGGAATGGTGTTTTGGCACGCTTTGGGGTGTTCACACGGTTGTCTCCCAACAGGGCATTCTTTTGGGGCCTGTGAAAAAGGAGCTTGGGGGGAAGGTGTATTCCAACGTCAACGTCGTTGGTGAGTGTTGGGTTTCCGCTGGTCCTTCTCTTCTTCCTCCTCCTCCTCCTCTCATCCTCCTCTTTATCCTCTCTCCTCTCTCCTCTTCCCTTCTCTGCCTCTCGCCCTCCACTGTATTGCTTGTGCGCAGCTTCTCCTCTGTCTCGCCCCGAAACCGGTCGAGATGGCGGGCCAGGCGTTTCGCTTGAGACTTCCTCGCCATTTGCGACCCTGCAGCTCTGCGCCGCGCGCATTCGCGCCCAGCGCCGCGCGCATTCGTTTTCAACATATGTTAGAGTTTCGCGGATTCAGGGCGGTTCCTTTTCAAAGTGTGGCTCTCGCTTTGGCGCCGTGCACACTCTTTTTATAACATTGCAAGAATTTTGCGGATTGAGGACAGGTCGTTTTCAAATTTTGGTTCTCGCCTCAGCGCCGCACGCATTCGCTTAAAACCAATGCACTAGCTTCTTGGATTGAGGGGGGCCGTCTTCAAAATGTGTCTCTCGCCTGAGCGCAGCGCGCATTCGTTAAACAAATGCACGAATCACACGGATTCCCATGGTCAACGTGCAAGGATTCAGGAATGTGAGGACGCAACAGTTGCGTGGATTCGCGGTGTTGAAGTCCCAAGAATTGTGTTGTGGCACGGTTCTGGGTCGTCAAAACGTAGCAGTCAGGTTGACCCGTGGCGTGGAAGTCCCGAGCATGGTGTTTTGGCACGCTTCGGGGTGTTCACACGGTTGTCTCCCAACAGGGCATTGTCTTCAGGGGCAATGAGCCCTTGTAGGGGCCTGTGAAGAGAGAGTTCGGAGTCCAGAGGGAGGTTATCTTTCAACATCGTTAATGAGTGTTGGGTTTCCGCTGGTCCTCGTTCTCCTCTTCCTCCTCTTCCTCTTCCTTCTCCTCCTCAGCCCGACGATGATTGTAACATTTGTTTTCCTGTGGTTTTGGCGATGATGCTGGCGACGGCCGCGGTGATGTTTGGTTCAAAATGGATGCTCGTCAGGGGGCATTGCAGGCTGGCCTACGCGCCAAGCGCTGCATGCTTTCAAGAAGTTCAAAATTGCCGCGCAACTCCGTCGGAATTCGGCGGCTACTTGGGGGACCGTGGTGGCTCCAAAGGACGGTCCTCGGCGAGAAGCTTCGCTGGCGACAGCTTCAAAGATGGATGGCGGGTGATATTCAAAATGTTGCTCTCGCCTCAGCGCCACGCGCATTCTTTGAACAAGAGTTGTAGAGGGTTGCACGGATTGAGGGCGGGCCGTTTTCAAGATGTGGTTCTCGCCCAGCGCCGCGCGCATTCGTTTTCAATATTTGTCAGAGCTTCGCGGGTTCAGGGCGGTTCCTTTTCAAAGTGTGGCTCTCGCTTTAGCGCCGTGCGCATTCTTTTGATAACATTGCAATAATTTTGCGGATTGAATGCAGGTCGTTTTCAAATTGTGGTTTTCGCTTCAGCACCGCACGCATTCGTTTCAAACTAATGCAACGGCTTCACGGATTGAGGGGAGCCGTCTTCAAAATGGGTCTTTCGCTTGAACGCCGCGCGCATTCGTTAAACAAATACACGAATTACACGGATTCCCATGGCCAACGTGCAAGGATTCAGGAATGTGAGGACGCAGCCGTTGCGTGGATCCGCGAGGTTGAAGTCCCGAAAATTGCGTTCTGGCACGATTCCGGATCGTCAAGACGCAGCAGTGAGGTTGACCTGTGGCGTGGAAGTCCCGAGAATGGTGTTTTGGTACGCTTCGGGGTGTTCACACGGTTGGGCAATGAGCCCTTGTAGGGGCTTGTGAAAAAGAAAAAAGAGCTTGGTTGGAAGGTATATTTCAACATCAACGTCGTTGGTGAGTGCTGGGCTTCCGCTGGTCGTTTTCCTCCTCTTCCTCTTCTTCCTCCTCCTCTTCCTCTTTCCTCCTTTTTATCCCGTCTCCTCTCTCCTCTTCCCTCCGCTGCCTCTCACCCTCCACTTTTTGCTTGTGCGCAGCTTCTCCTCTTTCGCGCCCCGAAACCGGTCGAGATGGCGGGCCAGGCGTTTCGCTTGAGACTCCCTCGCCATTTGCGACCCTGAAGCTCCGCTGGCGACAGCTTCAAAGATGGAGGGTGGGTGGTATTTGAAATTTTGCTCTCGCCCTAGCGCCGCGCGCATTCTTTCAACAAGAGTTGTAAGGGTTACACGGATTGAGGGCGGGCCGTTTTTAAATTTTGGCTCTCGCCTCAGCACCGCATGCATTCGCTTAAAACCAATGCAATAGCTTCACGGATTGAGGGAAACCGTCTTCAAAGTGTGTCTCTCGCTTGAGCACCGCGCACATTCGTTAAACAAATGCACGAATCACATGGATTCCCATGGCCAACGTGCAAGGATTCAGGAATGTGAGGACGCAACAGTTGCGTGGATTCGCGGTGTTGAAGTCCCAAGAATTGCGTTCTGGCGCGATTCTGGGTCGTCAAAACGCAGCAGTCAGGTCGACCCGTGGCGTGGAAGTCCCGAGAATGGTGTTTTGGCACGCTTCGGGGTGTTCACACGGTTGTCTCCCAACAGGGCATTGTCTTCAGGGGCAATGAGCCTTTGTAGGGGCCTGTGAAGAGAGAGTTCGGAGTCCAGAGGGAGGTTATCTTTCAACATCGTTGATGAGTGTTGGGTTTCCGCTGGTCTTTTTCCTCCTCTTCCTCCTCTTCCTCCTCCTTCGACGTGGTGGATGCCGAGGCGGTGACTTTCAACGCGCCGCGGGCAGACGGCGAGACTGGGGACGCAAGCGAGACACACGGCAATTTTATGAGCAGGGACGGCGGGCAGAGCACCACGGGCAGTCTTACGGCGAAGGCCGAGGCCACTGCCTGCGACGGCTGCTCGAACGATGGCGACGGCCCCGAGCGAGGACGACGTCAGCCAGTTCACCTTCGACTTCTACGCTGAAGCCGCTGGCCAGGCGGTAGGGGGAGGAGGAACTGCGTGCCGTGGGGAGGCATTGGGCCTTCTTCCGGGCGGATGAAGCCCCCTACTGGGCGGCAGAGGGAGGAGAGACCGCGTGCCGCAAGGACGCTACGGTGTCCCCCCCCGAGGGCGGCACGACGGGACCGCAAGCCGTGACGATGGCGGATGCACACGCCATGCTGCTGGCGCTTCATTCTCGGCCCCTACCCACCTCCATTTTCTCCCTCCCTCTCAGTAGCAAGGGGCGCCTCCTCCTCCTCCTCCTCCTCCTCCTCCTCCTCCTCCTCCTCCTCCTCCTCTCAAGAACCGTTTTGGCTCGAACATGGCCCCCGAGGCACCTGCGTTCGGGCCGCTCCGAGCCTCCGCTAGGCGGTCTTGGGGTCGCGCGGCCATTGGCGATGTTTCTCCTCTGGCGGGAGCGTTGCTGATTCGGAGCGGAACGAAGCGAAGATACGTACACATCCCCTCCTCCTCCTCCTCCTCCTCCTCCTCCTCCTCCTCCTCCTCCTCCTCCTCCCTCTCCTCCTCCCTCTCCTCCTTCCACAGCCACAGCCCTGCAGGCGAGACGCCACGTAAGGACTCGTGAATGGCACAAGGGGGGCTGCCTGAGTTCGTGGCGGCCCCCCCTGTGCCATCCCTACCTGAGGCGGAGGTCTTCTGCCCTTCCGTACTGGCCGGCGGGAGCGCGGCGGACGTCGACGTGCTCTTCGGGGCGTTCCGGGCCCCTGGCGTGGACGCGCAGGAGGCGGCGGCGGCGCAGTCCGCGCACGTACAGTCGGGGCCCTGAAGAAGGAACCCTTTTCGTTGGGGAGGGGCTCGGTGTTCCTGGATTGCTTTACAGTTTGCCTTGGGTTTTCCCCAGGTTTTCCATGGGACATCGGAGTTTCACTTATGGGAAAAAAGGGGCCTCGTTCCTTATTTAGGGTTCCTTAGGTCAAGGCCCCGACTGTATCCCCCGAGGCTCCGTCGATCGTGGTCGCCCAGCAGGTGGAGCAGGCGGAAGTGAACTGCGACCCGCCTCCGCCTCCGCCTCCGCCTCCGCCTCCGCCTCCGCCTCCGCCTCCGCCGCTTCCTCCTCCGCCTCCTCCTCCTCCTCCTCCTCCTCCTCGTCGTCGTCCTCCTCCTCCTCCTCCTCCTCCTCCTCCTCCTCCTCCTCCTCTCACCCGTTCCCGACGACGGCTGCACGCGGATGCGCTGCGGCGCTCCGGAGTGTGCCGCGCGCCCGCCCGCGGGCGGGGGCCGCCGAGGCGCTGCGGGCCGCTCCGCGGCGCGCCCGCGCCGCCGTGCGGAGGCCGGGGCGGAGCAGCCAGCGCCTCCTGCCCCGCCT